TTTTAAGTAGCCTGTCAAAGTAAGTGACATTTATATCATCTTAGTCTTAAACTCTCATGCAAAGTTCCATCCAAAGCAACTTCTTCATTATACAATCAAATGCTAAAAGTAACCTTCCCTATTGAAAGATCCTGCATTATCTCTCGCAACAGTTAGTAGGTTCAACATAATTTCTAGTATTTAGTGCTTAATGCACCCATTTTTTTGTTAGAAGTACTTTTTTTTCTTGTTAACAAACTCTTGCAAGGGGACATCAAGTCAACTGAAACCTCTGACATTTTGTTTGCAGCCTGCTGATTTATCAGCAAAATCCACAGGCCACAGACTGACCTTCAAGAAAGGTCTTGCTCCAGAGGTTGGAGAGTGCTATAACTTTAATACACTCGAAGGCAACAATACCACCACAGAAGGAACTCCCTTTCAATTTTTCAAGATAGCAGAGACGACCTAGTGATTTCAGATTTCCACCACTCCAATTAAAAAACTATAAATAGTTAGTTAGTTCTACAAAATGTGAGACAATCAAGAAAAAAGGTGTGACCAGGAAAGAAATCCATGGTAAAAAGGAATGCTATGAGAAGATTTTGTTCTTTCTGAAATTCCAGCAGCCTTGAATAGCTCACAAATATTGCATGCTAAAAGGACTTCAATTTCTTTGCACTAACAGAAGCTTGAAAACACTATTTACGTTGTTTTCTGGAATCATGCATCACCTCTGAAACACCTGCAATGCATTAAACATTTAAATCTCCGCTACTTATAAAGTAGGCAATCTTTCCCCTTCTCACACACTATCACTAGCATCAGCCAAGACTTCTTACCATTTTTGCTTTAAGCTTGATGTTTATTAGAAGACCAGAACGGGGACAAGTTTTCTTGCCCTTTGAAAGGTTTTTGATTTGTTACTTAACTAAACATGTTTGCACAGCTTTCTTCATATCTACAAGTCTTTAATCCACAAGATGTCAGTTGAGGCAATAATTATATTAATAAATTGTAGACAGTCTAAGAAGAAAAGAAAGATGGAGAGACATGTGGAATTAACGTGCTGTGAATCAGCCCTGCATCATCCTTTGTCACCGGCTTTTTTTCCCCTCTTCTTGTTGCCTTTTAGTAATAATTTTCAGTGCATTTGACATATTTCATCTCACTCAATGCACTGAACCCTAATACAAGAGAACACCAGTTTGTCAAACATACGTTATTCGAGGATGCATACCAGTTAATCTTAGGCGGCTGACATAGTCAAAGGCAGCCACACTGGCAAGAGCTAAATACACACCAGGCAAGGAGAGAGGGATTGCAAGAGCATAAGCATGGCTGCTGAGATACTAGCACCACCCAAGGCCAAAGCCCCCAAATTCCTGTCTCAATTCTTCCCAAACCACGTCTCTCACAACAATTTCAAAGCACACATTTCCACTGCTTTTGACAAGAGGAGTTGCAAACCGGAAAAACTAGTTGTCTGCTTGACACAGGATTCAGCATCAGATATTGGAAGAGTTGGATGAGAGCAAGACTTTATTCTTTTTAGATGTTTAGTTTCACAGAAGCCTGTGTGAATATTTATGGGTCAAAGTCAAACAGACAATTAAGCCTTTGCAGCACCAGGGCCAGTATTTGTAATCCAGGATACCCACACTAATTTGCTGCTACGGACATTATGGAGTACAGTTGTAAAAGGTTTTTTAAACAATAAGCGTGTTACAATAGCAGAACTTCTAGGGATGCCAAGCTTTACATTTTATTGTTTCTTACAACTGTTTTTACCTCAACTTAAAATGTCAGATGCATTCAGTCTTCAATAGGAGTGCCATCATTCAAAGCTTGGCCATTTTGGAGCTTATGCAATATACTGATAAGTTTTCTCCCTCATTTTGCTGCAAATGCTGAGATCAGTATCTATTTATGTTTTACAATTTGGCTCAAAGGCAGATTTGAATCAATACAGAAAATAAAGGATTGATTATAAAGGCAAAATTCTTATTTCTTCAATTTCTAAGCCCATTTATACTTTTGAACATGGTTACCTGGAATTAGGAAAGAAAAATAGAAATAAAGAGGACTATGAGAGCAGTAATGGTATTTTCTACATATATTTAATATGAACTTGCTATTAAAATGAATTTATAAAAAGGTTAAAGTAAAAACTTCTTGCTCCATTCTGGTTTATTTCACATACTAACTGTATTTCAGACCTAGTGGCTTTTAAAGTTTCCCATGTATGGTTTGATTTTGCTAATTACATATTTAACAGATGTATAGAAAAGTAATTAATTTTTTTATTCCCCAACTTTGCTTTAAAAAAAATCCCAAAACAAACATCACCACCAACCTCCCACACCAAAAAATAAAGACCCAAATGTGGAACAATTCCTTGAATTACATAACTGATCTTTCCTGGACAAAGGGTTTCACACTGTTACCCTTAGTATTAACTTCTGCCATGTTATAAAACAGAAAACATCTGCTAAAAAGATGATTTCAAAAAGAAAAATATGTAAAAGACGCTCCTCGGGTACACTACTTACTGCAAACAACAAAAATATTTCAGTGGTAATATTCTTATTTTATTTACTCGGAACAACTTTTATAGACTACTAATTTCCAGTGATCAGTAACAACGGATACCATCCCTATTAACAAGTTCAAGGTAAAACCACATCTGCCATTCCACCAATGAAAAAGGTTCTCAGAAGGAATTTGTTCATTCTGGACCAGAGAAAACAACCAGCAAAAATACCACTAGAGAAAACACTCTTTGCCCTGGCGCATTTACAAGGAATGCTTTGTCCTTATATGACTTCAGGAACTAATTCACGTTCTTCTCAAGAAAGGGTTAGGTTTTATTTGGGATTTACTACATGGCAATACTCTATTGCAAATTCCTCAGGAGGAAAGACAATAAACAGGCATTTGTAGGAGAGAACAGAAGGAAGACTCCACTGAATGTTTTGATAATGATGCTTCTAGTCTGCAGTCCAACATATTGAAAAGTTCAGGTTAGAAGGAAGATATTCTGACATACCGTAGCCAGTTCAGAATAAACTGTCTACAGGTTTTTCTTTGAAAAACTTTTCTTTTAAAGACAAGTGGTCCTAGAGAAAAATCATTCTTCTTCAAATTAGGAAAAAAAAGAAAAAAAAAAAAAGCAGCACTGTTTCCACCTAATCCATGATGCAATCTGTTGCACTGGAGACATGTACATTACAAAAAGAGACATAAACATTAATAATAGAATCCAAGAAACATTTCTGTTTCCTGTTCTCCAGCTTAAAAAGTAGTTTCTACTGAAACAATAGTTTTAAAAAGAAATCATTGCCATCTCTACAAGGAGACACAGCACAAAAATCTTCATCCTGAAGCAGGCTAAGTTTGGAAAAGTAAGCACCTTAGAGCAGAAAGTAGATTATATAGACCAAACTTAACTTCATCCTAAGAAACCACCCTCCCAGCAGGCACTGATATGACTTTTAATTAAGGAAAAGCAAAGAAAAGAATAGCAGATTTGGGAGGATAGGTATAAAGAGGATGCAGGAATTTTGTTTTATAGTCTTTTGCAGACAACAGGTCCCCTTGTTCCTTGCTCTACACCTAGGCAGTGCCCTAAGCTTTTACAAAAAGAAGATTTAATCTCTTGGAACCAGTGGGAAAGAACAAGGCATTGGTGGTTCACATAAGAAAAATAAAAAGGTAATTCTACAAATGAACTTTTTAAAATGCCTTACACAGACTGGAAGAAATACAAGTCTAAGACATTAGTGCCAGACTAAACAGAAAATCTGCACTTCATTTGAGTGAACCTCTGAGTCAGTCTTCTACTGCAGCAATGGAAGAGAAGAATTCAGGTTCACTTTAATCTGACCTGCCCCAAATAGAGAGTTTCTCTTACTTCGCAGAGAAACTCTATCAAGTAGCATGCATGAAAAGTAATCAGAACTGTAACGGAGACACCAAAAGCTTTTCCTCTTTTGAAATGCAGTCAGCATCTCATTTGCAGGACTGACAAACATACAAAACTAAAAGAAATAGAAGAACATAATTAGCTTGACTTTAACTAATACCCAGTAAGGTCACTGACAATCTGACCAATATTAAACCTAAAATCTTCTCCAAAAGCTGTGCCTAGGAGTCTGTACTCCCTCTACTCCCCTACTCATAATTAGATTTTTCAAAAATATAAACAAAATCTTTCACCCCTCCCATGCAGCTGTGTCAGCTTTTAGCACACATGTTCTCTTTGCAAACATGCCCACATCTTGTGATGATTTCTCTGACAAGTCCTCAGACTGCTATGAAAAACCAATGCTTGGCTACTAGATTTTGTGACAATGTCAGGAGAAAAAAAATTGCTAATTCTCTTCAATCCAATTTCCAAGGAAGACAGGGAATTTGCAAATAATCAACAAATATCCACAATTAAAAGGAACATTTAATACTCTAGAACAGAGTTTAAATTTAACGTTTCATTCATCTTCTACTACCAGGAACCACAATAAGTCTGCTTCTTTTCCTTCAATCAATAGAAACCCGTAAAAATTCAAACTTCAAAACATTTACAAAAAATATTAGCGTTATATATTTGCAACAGATAAACTGAGCCAGCAAGGTAATCAATCAATTTTGAATTACTTGTGGCAACTAGCTAAAATGATAGTGCACACACTAATAACTGGCAACAGTCACCTAATGAACAGGTTCATGCCTTATGGAAATCACAAGCTTCTGGGTTACATTTTTAATAACAGCCACTTACAATCATAAATATGTATTTCCTCTTCTGTTTCATGAAAAAGTTTATTATATGTAAACTGAGATGTGCTCATCACAAAACCATCCAGCATAACTTCTTTTTGCAAGGACCATACACTGCTTCTTATGTTACGGAATGCATTAGTATAATTTGAGGTGCAACAAGAGTGTTTGTTAACTTACTCATTTCTGTACATTACAGCATTTTTACATCCCAGTAAATGAGTTCTGAATAATGTCATACTTACAACATCAAACTTCTGTGTGATGTTCCCCTGGACATCAAGTAAATAAACTTTGCCATAATGTGTTCCCAGTGCCAAAAACTGTAAAAGAAAGAGACTGATTACACAAACACAAAGACACCACAACCAATACTACAGCAATGCTAAATGAACTCCAGGATGTTTAGCAGATTAATGACTAGCAACACTGTGGAAAAGAAAAAAGCCCACCACTTTCTATGGAGAAAGGTTATTTTAACTATACCTAAAGAATAAAATAGGGCTTCAAGCCCATATTACTTTGATAGTGCAAGTTAGCTGTCAGAATGAGTCATGAGGACTCTCATCCACTGACAACTAATGGTGTGTCTGCAGTCTGTACACACTGGCTGATGGAGTGTGGCAGCAAATTAAAAATGCAGTGTGAAAGCAAGGCCAACAGAGATCTGAAATAGTTCCTAGAAATAGTTTCTGCAGCTTTGTTTCAATCATAACAATTTCCTTTGAGCTTTATTTTTAACTGTCCTTCATTATTAACGTGAAAACAAAGCATTCAAACACAACAAAAGGCCACCAGTAAACCGCTGGTAAAATAACAGCTGAATTATGGAAGGTTTCTGACAGTGCATTTAGGCACACAGATAACCACTGGGTTTGCTCCCCTTCACATAGCAACACCTAAATTGAATACTCTCAAGACAAATACACTTTTCCACAGGAGTTTCATTCTAAAAAATAACAGCAAAATAAAGAAATGTCCACACAAATTCATGCTATCACAAAACTTATTTTGATACAAACAAGAAGGGAATTGATTCTGAGAGATCTGCTGTTAATTGAACCATGTGAATTACACCTAAACTGAAAAGGAAGAACTTTGGTACTACTTGATTTATGACAGAGGTTTCTTTTATTTGTCCCCTCCCCTACCCCACTTTCAGCATTACTCAAATAGTTTAGGCTACTCAATTCTCTGTATTTCACTGCACGTGAGCATGCTTCATTGCAACCTATAATGAAATGCTCAAATTTACAGGCACTGCTAAGCGTGTCAGTCAGGCAGCACAATCTTTAAAAAATAACCTTACAGAAAGTCAAGGTTTAAAAGGATTTATCAAAATGCAATTGCTTAAAATGAAATTTCAGTTCAGGCACTTAAAATATGAAGCTACATTAAAAGGAGTCAAGAAAGGGAAAGAAGGGGTTCATTAGAAATTCATTCCCTGCAATGCCTTTCACTCCTGCAAGGTTGCCTTTTTTCAGGAAGAAAAAAGTCCCCTGGGTAAAAAAATCAATACTGGTTAATAAAACATCAGGTGTGCAGACATAACTAGGTATGACTATTCCACTGCACAGGCCTGCTTGAATGCACCAGGTGCCATGACGATTAGTCATCCAGTGCAGACAGCAAGCCTGGTGAAAATATGATGCTTTAGCAGCAAAAAGGAGAAAAAATAATCCTGGGAGGAAATTAGTCTGAACACAGAAGCCAGCTTTCAGGATTCTCAGCAAAGTTAAACTGCTTTAATCAGAGACATATTATACATATTATGGTATAATTTTGCTAATGATGACACTTTATCAAGGCTTTTCCTGCTCTTGCAAGGCAAAAAAAACCCAAGAAAACACAACAAAAATGAAACAGAAACACCCTCACAAAATCTATAACCCAGCTTCATTTTTAAGCTCTCTGTTGTAAGAGACCTATTCCTAAAAGACTGCAGTACCTAGCTTCTAACAATATTGATCCTTCTCATAAATAGTGTATCCAGTTTGCTGGAAAACTGAAAGAGCTGGGATACTTCAACAGTTTTCCTGTATTGTCATGTTTTGTGACACAGATACAGCAAAAGCTGTATCTTTGCATATACTTATAGAAAAATCCAGTTCAACTCTCGGCTTTCAGAATTTACCCGAGACTTGTGAATAAAAGGTAACAGAAAAAGGCCAGAGACAAAGAGGAAAGGCTTGCCAATTTTCCAAATATCTGTGTAATTCTAAGTCGTCAAAAACATTTTAGAAAGACTTATTGTTTTCATTCACACAGTTAAAATACAAGCTTCATCTTAAGAGCCTCTTGAGCCATGGCAACAGTCCTCTGAGGAAAAGAAACATAGCACAAGTCAATCTAAAAATACAGCCAAATAATAAAGATAGATCCCTCAACAATAACTGTTAAGGAGTTATTACTAGATATGAAAAAATATACATTCAGAAAATAGCTATTATGTTCTACATACTAATAGTTAACAAATCCTTAACTCATACTTTCAGATCTCTTCAGCATGCCTCAATATTTTAAAATGCTTTCCCATATTTATAAAAGAGAAGAAAACTCATAAAATACAAAGCAATTGTTTAAAGCATTAAAGAAGCATATGAAGTTTCCTTCTTTTAAGAATAAATGAATAATTCTTCATGAAATTTCTTTACTTTGCATTGTCCAACACTTTCTCCCTATCATTCTCTTGTAAGTCACAAACCTTAGCATGTGCCTTTCCTCTCCTTGTTTTTAACATATTGAATCAGGGAAGGGGAACAGGGAAGTGTTAGTATGACACCTCTCAAAAAAACTCCCAAAAAGCAACCAAACAGAAAATATTGTAATTACTTCCTCCTAAACTGTGTCAACATAAACTCATGTGTCTTCCACAGATGAATATACGCTAAGTTCCTGGCACGATGAAGTCTGTCTTCAGTGATTCAGGCTGTACAAATAAGCACATTATATATCAATTTCCTTCCAGAGGAAAGGAAATTTAGGACTGTATTCCAATTCTAGAGAGATCTACTGTTAACTGAACCATGTGAACTGCTCATTTTATCACTGAGAAAATGTGGATCGTTCAATACAGGGTTATGGTGAATTTTGTTTATGTTGTCCTGCACTGCAAGTCTAGATTTGGCATCACTTGTACACAGAAATATACTGATGTATTATAAGCACAGCTAAATATATAAAACCAAGCAGAAGTTTTTTCTCAGCCACAAAGTCACATAATACCTTTTCATGCACTGTCATGCAGCTGGCTGCATCCTTCTGGAGAATTTCAGTCACTCCATTAGAAAGCCGTTCATACTTCAGCTTAGGTTCTTCTTCACTCTCATCTTCCTAAATTTTTAAGAGTGCAAGGAAAATGGAGCAAGAGAGAAAAAACAACAAAAACATTTAGATGTTTATTTTAGATATAAACAAATTAAAAGATACCCCAAAACTATCACACAGCAACAGCCGAAGATGGATCACTGCTATCTCTTCATAACAGCCATTACAATCAAAAGCCAAACTTTCACATTTTTATCATCTGAGGGGGTTTGGGTTGTGGTTTTTTGTTATTGGTTTCTCTTTTTACTCCAAAGTTCTGGGTGCAAACAAAGACTGTATAGCAGCAAATCAATTCAGCTGTAAGAGGCACTTAGTTGATATCTAAAAAGCAAGTAAAAAATGTACATGTGTACTTTATTACATAAAGTTAGTAATTTGCAATTTAGAAGTAAAATACAAAAAGGATGGATATGAAAATGAAGGATGATAAAATAAAGTGTGCCACTGTAGCCACAATGAACTGAAAGCTGAAGCATGCAGGTTACAAGAAACTTCACGACCTTTACAAGATGCTGCACCTCTGTAGGAAGGATAGAGGCAAAACACTGTGAACAAAAATAAAAAAGAATCCACTAGGAATAAGTTAATTGTATAAAACCCACCGATGGGTTTATGTTAAAAAATAAATAGTATAAACATGTTGTCTGGGAAAAGGATCTGGACACAGCATGTTCCTATGAATCACCTTTATCATGTGCATGTTAGGATCTTTTTCTGGTAAATACTGAGGCTTTCCTCTCTTTTTCTTTTCAAGCATGTTAGGTATTATCCCCCAATCACTGTTTAGATGCAAAGAAAGATGATGGTTCAATGGGCACACAGTGAAAAGAAACTAAGCTAAAAAACCCAAAAACAAGCAGCAAATTTATTCATCAAAGAACACTCCTTGTTTATCTCTTAGGAAAAGAAAATCCAAGGTGCGAAATAGCTCTCTGGTCATAGGAATCTCTCTGTAACAGATGGTCTTCTGAAGTACAGTGCCAAAGAGAGATTCCATAGGCTTCAGTAAGTCTCAGTTAATACTATATGTGCATATATACATATATATGTGCATATATACACAAACCCATATATATGAGCGAGACCCTTGGTCCTCACTGGGAAACAGTATACTTGCAATAATATTCTCCTACACTCACTATTTGCTCTAATGAACAGATCAACATTGAGTATGTTTTCCACATAAAACGTGTCTCTCATTTCTAAGCAACCACAATATAACAACGCAGGGCTCTAACTAAAGGAGTGCCTCTATTTCCCACCAACCACTGCCTTCCAATCCCTAAAAATGCACAAGGTCAGTTTATGGCAGAAGAACTGTATTTATGCAACATTTATAGCTAATGATGTGAAAAATAAATCTGGAAGAAGGACATGTTAACTGGTTAATAAAATATATTTTGTTTAAACTGCCTTTGGAGAACTAAAGTCAGTCTTTCCCAAGTTGAGTATTATGGCCATTTACCATGTGTGATACCATCATATATGGTAATACGTACACAACCTCATAAAAAACACAAAAAAGCCACACATTCCTATGGAAACACTCAGTATTTAGCCCCATGCTTATATAAATACACTGCAAAGAGAGTCTGTTTTAAAATGTTGTTTGAGAGTTTTATGACAGAATACAAATGAGATTAATAAAGGGATGTCAGCAGCGCATGACGTAGGAGTCTGAAGTGAGGTGTCAAAATGTCCACCAAGAAACAATTTTATTCAGTAAATCTAGCACTGAACAAAGTTGTTACTAGACAGAATGACAATGTCAAATTACAGGGCTGTATATAAATCAGTCAAATTCCTTGTGCCTACAGATCCTTAATAAATGGCTACAACGTAGAGGGAGGTGGTAAAGTCAAAGAAAAAAGCATACATGCGATGGAAGGAGGGCGTAAGGAAGTATGTGTCCATTTTACACAATTAATACATTACTTCATTTTATACATTCCTTACAAAGATTACACTTGAAATGCATGGGTAATCATTGAATAAATTCATAAAAGTAAAAACTGAACTCCAGTCATCTAGTTTTTATAAGATCCCACGTGTTGGTGGGGTCTGGACATTCAATGTGCAACCAACATGAAAAGTTAATTTTAGTCTCTTGAGTAGTTTGCATAAAATCATTCATCTGTGGACCATTAGAAAAAGTTACTGTAAATAAGTTTTGCCTGTCTTATTTATGAGTGAAAACTAAGTAATTTTTCTTGCACATGCACATACAAAAAATATATATTTTCAAAAGTCAGTGCACTGAAGCATTCTGCTGGTCTTCAAAATAAGTAAATAAAATGAAAACTTCCAAATATTAGGCATGATGATGTACCCATTTCATGCTTTCTTGACAGAAAGTAAAAGTCAAGCTAAAAGGTGAATTGAAATGGAGTTGGGGCACTTCACTGTAAACAAAATGAAATGAAAAAGGTGATTTGCAAAATTCAAGATTTCTCTACTGCTTCAGATATATATTAAATGCATTTGATGATCTCTTATTTAGAGTATCAGATTAAAATTTAATAATTTTAAAGGTATTTTTCTATCAGGAAAACCTTTTATGCAGTATGAACTTCTAAAGTAAACAAAACCCACTGTTAATAAAAGCAAATCAATAATTTTTTTAAAATTTTAATAATCCTTAAAACCCACAAATAAAACCATCAGCAGCCTGAGCTGAGTTGTCAGTTAGCTGTGTTTCTATGACAACCTAGAGGAATAGTACAAGTCCTGACTTGCAGCAAAGCTAAGATATAAACAGAGTGACATTTACCCCATACAAGAGAACTCACAGCTTTTCTTTTTTAAGGGAAAAAATAGTAAAAAAAAAAATCAATTGCTGAACTAACGTGGATTTTTACTAAGTGTATGACACTTTATATTTAAAGTCTTTTAAACCATCCTAGAGGATTCTAAACATTTGAAAATAAATTTTATAGCACTGCTTTTTGTACCACCACTTAACACTTCTCCCATATTTTCTGCCTAAAAATACTTGAAACAACACTGAATTTTGAGATTCTTGACAAATGTATTAAATGAAAAAGAAATATATACTGTACAAAATGTATACTCCATACACGGCAGCCTTAAATTCTGAAAGGGAAGGAGACCCACAGAGCTGACAGGAGGAAGCTACCTTTGTGATGTTGTAAAATAAATAACGATCATTTTTCAACCACGTGAATGCTAAACTAAAATTCATATTCCATTTAGTTTTCTACTTGCATTTTAATGCTAAAGCTAGCAGTCAAATAGCTAAAAATGTGTTGTAAAGAACCTGTAAAGAACAGGTATCCATAAACATTTCCCATTGAAAGCACATTTCCAATGGAACGAAATACCCTAATTAACCTTCAACACTAATACAAACAAACACCTTCCTACTAAGAGCTGTTCCATTTGTCACTGTTAAACACTCCTGAACTGAAAACGAAGTCCTTTGCCTACACTCAGCACCTACACACTACCGACTCCTCTTCTGGAGCAGATTTACAAAACTGAGGAGAGCTGCAAATATGCATCAACCTCCCAGGAGGCCAGTGCCACTGCAAGGAATGCTCATCTGCCTTTCTAAACACAGATTCACAACATTCTTCAGATATTCTGCCCTGTCTTTCCTAGCTTTGCCTACAGGAACTACTGCAGTGGAATCATGAATAGAAAAAATATCTGAAATCGGTCCTGGAAAATTTCCAGAAGGAACCTGTGGGCAGTTCCCAGAGTTATTCCATTAGCCCACATTTGCTCCTGCAGCAGAGGATCTGCCCACAGGACAGTCTGTCACATGAACTACATGGTCTACTGATTGCGGATACTCTAATTATGTTACGGGCACTGACAGCAAAGTGTCACGCTTCCCACACGATTTGCCCTCAAAGTTTTTCAAAGCCTTTATGGAATTAAATGGTGCATACATTACAAGGTAAGTGTCCTTCCTCTTTGCCGCGCATCTTCTGTCCACTCCCAGGTAGAATTCCAATTACTATAGGTGGCCATTCCAGCCTTGTTTATGCCTGCAAGTTTTGAACCTGCAAAGCATTTAAACTCCAATACAAAGATACCTGAGGTCCATCACTCAAAGCAATTTCAAAGAAGATACACACACACCCTACTGCAACAAGGCCCCAGTGTCACAGGCCTTCCTAAAAGGTCATGACTTGGTGGGAAAAAAACCACATAAAACAACAAAACCCCCTACAGTTAATTTTCTTTTTTTTTTCTTCATGCTTTCTTTCAAGTTCTCCTTGACTTCAGAGATTATAAGAAAAAAGTTAAATTAGTTCATTTCTTCCTGTCCTGGTTCAGGCCAGGCCAGGGCTAATTTTTGCAGTAGCCAGGAGGAGGCAGGGCTAGGACCTGGAGGTTATTCTGTACCACCTCATGTCATTGCCAGGGTGGTGGGGGCAGGAAAACCTCTTCCAAGAAGTCTCTTCCGAGCAAGCATGGCGGATGGAGCAGTGGGGTAGTGAGCAAGTGGCACACGTCTTGGAGAGTCACAGTGGGAACACCAAATTCTGGAATACTATTCCTAAACCACAACATCTCCTAGCTTACAGGCCATTCAAAGTGCCTCTGTGTATCTGAATACTCAGTGTTTAGAACACATTATAAAATCTCACTTTAAAAAAAAAAATAACAAACCCATTCTGCTGCAAAAGTGCAAACCCAACATTACTGCTAAAAAGTGAGAAGAGACTACTCGGCAATTTGTGAGAGTAACTTTTCTTGATATTTAACACAGGTTAGACCTTTGGAAACCCATGCAGAACCTAATACGAAATCAGCATTTTAATTTATTTAAACAGTCATCACTATCACACAGAAGAAAAAATTAAACTGATTAGTTAGAGCTCCAGAATTATTAGTTAACAGACTACATAAAAACTTCCAGTAGGACCAAAGAAACCAACTCAAATTATTTTTGAGTTAAAATGAAGGTTCATAGAACATCCTCAGTTATGCAAAAATGAATAAATGCATCCTTAGCGCTCTGCTGGAGGCAGCTTCACTTCTTACAGAAATTCAGTGACAAATATAAAAAGAAAAAGAAAACAATAAAAAAGACCTCAAGCCCCAGAATGAAGTCTCTCCAAGGATAATTACATTCTATACATATACAAAGCACAAAGTGCAGCAAAATACCCAAGAACTCAGTTGTCAAGACACTTTATTTCATTTTTTGGTCTTGACATCTTGACTAGATCCAAAGCATAACCATATCCGACTGTTAATTCTTTTACAGAAATTATGTCTTAATCAGGGGGTTGATTGGTTGTCTCAGTTTTAATTTTGAGGGCCTGTGGGACTGTGGGCTGGAAAGGATCTTTCTACTATAAATCCCCTAGCTGGCAGGAGCAAAGGAGTACTTACCTGAGTGGCTGGTGTCCTGCTGAGAAGCGGAATGGGTGACTTCTAACCAGATTGCAATGAAAGGTACATCCTCAGTGGGGTTTTACACCACCATCCAACCCTCCAGCAAACCCTTCCTATCACCAGCATTGCCTGAGAGGGCAGGACTGCACCACGAAGTCTATGCAAGCCCCAG